ATTATTTTTCTAGTGAAAGCATTATGCACAAAAACACGCATTAAAAATAAACACAAGTTTTGTGTAACTGCACAAGCCTGTAGAGTTCTGTTTTTATTTAAGTTTTATTTACTGGAACTAACAACACTCAGTTTCTTGCAAGAAATGTTAAGATTCATAATGCAATCACTCTTAAGAGGATTYTGAAGTTTTTAAATACTGGGATTGTTGTTTGCCTTTTACTATAGCTTACYGTGAGCAACAGAACAGATAAAAATACATAGAAAATGTATTTCTAAAGAAACAGTCTTTTCAACTTATATTCCTTATATTAAGTTTTTTAAAATCTGGTAAAAACTTGTAATAAATGTTACAAGATTACCACAGAGAAAGACTGGAAATCTTAAGTCGTTTTCTTTAGTTTAGTAACTCAAAAACTAGTGATCTGCCATGAACTCATAACATGAGTACAACATGGAATGGGTTTTTTTACAGTGATTCTTGTGAGCATGAAGTGAGAATTTTCTGACTTTCCATAGCTTTGTGAAGCYTCCCAGGACTTTCTCCTGAGAACAGGAGCTCAGGCACTGATTTTAGTGTTACTTTGGGTTTAGGTTTTGTTTTATTCCAAAGGTTAAGCTTCGCATGAACACGAGGCAATTTTAAAGGCTTTTTGGATTCCAACATCTGTCCTTTGTRCAGCCACAGCCGTGCCCAGCTCCTGGATGATCACTGGAAAGCACAGAGCAGACAAATCATCTCTGGATTCTGGTGCCTTTGGCTCAGACCAGCGGGGAACAGACTAAAGCCTGAGCTTTTCTAAGGACTTCTGCTCTGCTGGGAGAAGAAAGGAGGTCTTTACTGCTGCRTGGAGGTGGAGAATGCAAAGTCTGATGTGCAGCAAGAGCAAGGAATTGAAGGTGGTTGTTTAATCATTTGGCTTTGTAACCTCTTCAGATGGTGTATCCAATAACAGCCTCCCTTTTTCACCTCTACAAACACTTATCCAGATGCTCAAGTCTGAATTCAGCCATCACTTATTTCTACAGTTTGCTCAGAGAAGTCCTACTTCTCATTGTTCTGCCTATATGAACCACTGCAAAATTCTTTTCCCTGTCTTCTACCCATGTCTCTGCCAGCTACCTACATCCTGATCATATCAGAGAATCTCACTTCTAAAGCTTCCCAGTTTGCCTCAATCTCTCTCCATTCCTAGCACCTGCAGGCAGCAATGTAAGTGCYACCCCTGACTACAGGATCGTGTCCCAGACAAGGTGATCTGCTTTGAATGGAACTGCTTTGTGTGTCTCCATATTCTTAATTTCACTTACACCTCTCTTGCTGCACAAGATTTCTCCATGARCTCTGAAAGACAACTAAGACATTTTCTTAGATCCCTCTTTGAAACTCTCCTTCACCGTGATGTTTACAAAAAGGTCAGTTTAGTCTAATACTATTTAGTCTATTAATAGACTGTGATTTAGTCTACTACCAGAACTGAACAGGAAACCAGAARTGCCTCTCTTTCTTTATCCCATCCYTGTGCAGCCATCGTGGTGTGTGTTAACCATACCCTCTGGAGCAAAGAGTCTCTACAAACACACAAAGCAAAGGCAGAGGAGCCTGGGTTTTGCCTTTGTTATGTGCAATTTTTCAACGCTGAAGAAAATACTTTCATTTTAATTAATGTATTCCATTCGATGCCATTTTGATTTCACTCTGTTATTAGATCTGCAGGAAGCTGAACAGATGTGTATTAGCTTAGCCAATTTATCAACTTCAGCAAACGAAATGGTTAGGACAGAAAAAGCAYTGAAGTCCTTTTGAAGTGCAGCTCTCAAAGGCTCTGCTCACACAGCTTCAGCAGACACAGAAAGGTGGGAAGCAGCTTCCATCCCTGRGATTGCTGTGGGCCATGCCTAGAAATTGGGACAAAGCTTTTTCACTTGGGTGACAGCCCCCTGTTCACCCTGGCTGGCACCATGCACACCCCACGTTATCTATAAAAGCTTTGAAGCCACCACTCTTAGGTTGGAATTGTATCTGCCCTCATATGAAGTTGCTTTTCAAGGGTCTTGACAGTCCAGCACTGATGTGAAGAAAGATTTGAAATTTCCCAGTAATTTAATCACTAAAAGTAGACTTTGATAAAAAGTTTACTTCATGAAGACATTTCTCACAGACTTCTCMGGGGAGCAACAAACTGAAAATCTCAACAGAGATTAGAGAGAAGACATRTCACTGATTTAGCCTAGAAAATGGAAAGTAGAAGGACAAAAATATTTTCAGRATACCCAATATAATGATTTCTAACTCTTTCCATACTGTTTCATGGGTAAAGCTGTCAGTGAAAGCACCAACAAAGTAAAACCCTGCAGAGCAGCTCTGGGAGAGGGAAGTAAAGGAATGCCCAGGAACATTTCAGCAAATGCTCTCATGTGACTGACTTCTGCTCATCAGTTTGATGTGTTAGCCAAGTCACTGCCTGCAGAGCAACCTTTTAATTAACTTCTTCTTTCTTTAGCATATCTCCATCTGTACTTAAAGCTAATGGCCTGTTAAATGAAGTTCAGCACCATCTCCCTTTCCAGAATGCATCAGGATCCAAACCCTCTATTAGTGCATCACTCACCAACTACTTACTTAGTTCTAAATAAATCCTTGGCCACTGGTTGCAAATATCAGAATCTGCACAAATCTCTCTCATTTAAAAGATGATGCCAGGTCTTCAAAATTTTTCGAAGTGAACAGACAAAATCAAGAACCTGTTCCAAGGCACGAGTTATATAAATTAGTATTTTCTTATGCTTAAAAAAGGGCACTTTTTATGAGTACCTTTTTCCTTTTTTTCCCAGAGAAGTGAAAATAAACCTGATTTAGGAAGGAGCTCTGCAGTGTAACGTGTATGAACACTCAAAAATCCTTCTTGTATTACAGCTCTGAGCATGTAACACACTCTCCTAAACCTGCAAYTGCTAAATTCATTAGGTAAATTTTTAGACTTTATTTAAAAGAAGGGAAAACACATTAAAAAATTCAGGAAAATGACTGAATTATGATTGAATTATGAATTATGTCTCATACTAATCATGAACAAAGTAGTATGAGGCAGTATTTCAGAGATTTTCTGACATTACAGACACTATTAGAAGATGACCATTGCCAGTGGCTGTTTCCTTGGCCCAGGCAGCAGTGAAATTCTCACCATTTCTCCCAGTTGTTCACTGGATTTGGTTATTGCCCCTGGTTTCTGTGTCAGAAATCCCACTTCTGTGGGATTTAACCAACATAATTACGGACAGTGCKACAGAGAGCTGATTCAGGAGGAACACAGCACACCAACATTTGTACTGCTCTTCTTAAAATTCACTGTAATTTCATTAACTCCTATTAGTGACTGTTGGAGAGGGCAAAGAATGAGGAAGGGAACTGATTTCCCTGGTGAGAAATGGCTTCCTTCGAGCAGCAGCTCAACCCCCCAGTGCCTACGAGCTCCCAGCAGGCTCAGAGCATCTCAACTGTGCAGCTCTGTTTTAATTTCCTCAAACCACAGGACACAAGTCACAGCTCCAGCAGATATTCCTTGCTGATACTGGTGCACAGCTTTGTGTCCTGTGGTTTCCAAATGCCTGCTATGCCACAGGGATCTCACACCAGCCACAAGATGCTGCCCCTCAGTTTCTGTGGGGTTAACACCTTCACAGGCACCAGTTTTGCACTCTTTCCTTTCTAAATAACAAGGGTACCCTGAGCACYACTGATCTCCAAAATCATTCCCTTCTCCCTCCTACCTTTGCAATTTTTTTCCAGTTTCTCCTCACCAATCAAATGATGATGTATTTATTTGAACCTTGCTATTGTAGTTCTTATAATTCTTCTTTTTTCTTCTCTAGTGTTCCCGCTGAGCAGCCAACAAGCAGGCACAGGATGAGGAAAAGCAAGGACCTCAAAAGCACTTCCACAACTTCAGTCTTGCTCAAGCAGTCTTTTCAAATTCCTTTGATTTACTGCCCTTCCAAGAGTTAGCTCCCTAGGGAATCCTACTAAACTATAGTAAAAAGGATCAAAATTTAAAAAAAGCAGAAAGTAAAAAGAGTAAAAAGAAAGAAGTAGCTGTTGAAGACTACTCAGACAGGTAAATCTGTATTTTGGTGGCTAGAAACAGTCCACAGTGTTACATGCTCCCAAGCTGAATAATACCACACATCTCTGAATAGTATCTCAGCCACACTCATTTGTTATTCACAGGATAAAGAAAACTTCAAGAAAAGGATATTCAACAAGCTGCAATTAATAACAAAAGTTAAATTATCCCTTTCCCAAGCACCACACCAAGCATCCTCTAACAWTCCTCCCTTGGGGCCTCCCATTGGCCCTCAGAGTCAGTAACTAAAGAAATACACGGGTTTTTTCCCATTTGGTTGCCTGGTTTTACAGTGTTCTGGTCAGCAACATTTTCAAACAGTCAGTGCTGGTAAATCACTAAGTACTCATTTTACACAATGTGTAAATCTACACCACATTTACTTCAAGATGTTTAAGGTGCATCTGCTGTTTATTKTGCTCTTCACATTCATGACTTAAATTGAATGTTTAAATGATTGTTAAACTAAACCTGCCACTTTGTCTCTTAACAAAAGCACTTGATGCCTTTAAGCTTCTCCAGTCCTTTCACTTTCCTGTACTGATTCCAATTTAATTCCTTTATTATTTAATTATCCGACTGGAATGTGAGAAACAATTTTTTGATTGGTTTTGTTCATGCYCAGAGTAGCAAATATAATTTGACAATAATCTGAAAGGCAGCAATATGTGTTAATTTTGAACTATGTACATTCTGTAAGACAGAATTTACTTAAAATGGAAAGATAAAAATCTCCATTTGCTAATGTTTGCTGCAGGAGCTGTGAATCTTTTCATCCTTTACAGGTAAGATTTCCACACTGCTTTAGCAGCAGATGTGAAAGCAGCAGTTACAAAAAGACAATTTTCAGACACCTCATTGGGTGTTTTTCCCTTACCTGCTTTTCCATCCTGGTTGAAGCGGGAGTATTTGGAGTGCTCGAGCAGGGGCAGGCATTGCTCAATGGGTGTCCACACGTAGGTCTCTGGACACAGCAGGTCAGAGGGCCTGTACTGACCCTGGGAAGGGGAAAAGATGGGRRRAAAAMAMRMAAAAAAGAGAGYAGTCACACCAGCTGCACAGAAACACTCTGGCTACAACTCCATTTCCCAAAGAGCGAGGAATATTTTAATCTAATCTACACCAAATGAGTGTTCAGTGAAATCYCAGGCTTCAGCCATTTCAGCACCATCTCAGGAGTACAAACTCAGCCTTGGCACGTGATGAAAATGTAAAATTAACATAACACACTTCCACGATCTCCAAGATGAACTAGAAAAAGTTTTGGCTTTCCTTACTGGAACTCTGTGTTTTAAGTTATCCTCTGGAGCTCTGCTGAGCTGGGGCCGACACTAAAAAACTCAGCACCTCCAAAAGCAGCTCATCTCAAGTGTTGGTAATTCTAACAAATAATGGAGAACAAAAAAAAAAAAATCTAATAAAAACCCCACTGAACAGTAAGCAGGACGCTGTTTTTATTACATTAGTGATGGAGCATTTCGCTCATTGCTRCTTAAATAGTAACACTTTAATTCATGGAGCTTTTCCTGGATTAGCTTACAGGTAATGATTAGTGAAATTCTACCATTTTTTTGTTGATTTATTAAGAAGATATTCTTTGCAGACATGCCCAGAAACTAAACAGCCTTAATTATTTTCCTTCCAGCTACACAGAAAATCACCACCTCAGCAATAATAACCTCCCCTAATCAGATCTTCATCTGATTTAAAATAAGATTATTTAGCAGCCTATAACTTAAAGTCAAAAATCTATCTTTGAGCCATTACTCATGCAATCCATACACTCTCAACATTCAGAGCCATATGGGGCCAATAGCAAATTAATTTTTAACCTGCAAATTCATTACACATCTCAGCTTGAGAAACAGCCATACAGTAAAGAGAATGAAAAATTTTAGGGATACAAATCAAAAATTAAGGGACTGGGAATTATCARAAGTCACACTGCAGTTGATGCCATTAAGAGTTCTTCACATCAATTACATTAAATGGATAATTAAGATTATCATCTTGAGATGAAGTTGATTTACTGCTCAGTATCTGCTCTGAAAAAAGGCAAAGAAGCTTTAGTTGAAGCTGAGCAATGTTTGGGAAGGTACAAAATTACAAAATCACTATGACTCAGTCTGCAGGTGAAGACATCCCTTTGGGGACACCCTTATGCAGCAACACCCAGTTCTGGAGAAACAGAACTCCCAGAAATTCCCAATTCTTTTTACTGTTCAGCTCTTCATGATATTTACAGAAAAATTAATTTTTTTATACATTTCCCATCAACTGTAAATTGTTGAGTAGGAAATACAAGAATTATCTCTGATAAAAAGTCATCAGTGCTCATGTAAAAAAGATAAAAATAACCAAGCTTCATGCTGAACCTTGTCAAATACCTGAGGTAATTTTCTAAAAAGGTCTGTATGACTGATTTTCTCATTTGAAAAACATCCAGGATTGACTTKTTACTACCATTGCTGATTTTGTTGCTTTTTTTAAAATTAAAGGCAAATTTTCATACTAAATTAAAACAATATTTCTCCAAATCCATTCAGAAACTTAAACCTCAAGGCCTTAGAAAATCCTCTATAGTTAGAGAATGGAAGTGACATTATTAAATAAACCACTTTGAAATGTTATGCTCTCTAAACAGAAAGAGTTGAAAGCTGTGTGAAGGTAGTGCTTAAAGAACACTTTTAATCATCAGTACTCAGATGAAACAATTTAAGGACTTGGAGAAAAAACACACCTTTTCAGTCATAATTCTAAAATATTAGAACATAATTACTTGTTGATTTAAAGACATTTTCTCAACTGGCCAAGAAGGCAGAAAGAGCCAAGGAACCATCTTTCAGAGCTGTTGCTTAAGCACAGGAAATACAAGGTGGCAAATTAATCTTTCCTTGTAGCACAGCCAGCCTAGGGACTCAGTTTCCCCAGAAGATCCTGCTCCCACATCTTGAAATTTATCACATTTGTGAATTCCACAAATAAAATTCCTATCACCACGCAGCCCTATTCTAAATTTCCCARTTACTTCTGTAACATTCCAGTCTGTCATAAAATGGGATGGATAAAATTAACAGCATTGCAGCATTGCTGGTTTGGGTATAATTAAAATAAACCTTCTTTAGCACGAAGCAGCACAGTAATGGGAAAAATTGATTTTCCAATCATTTAAGGCAGATTCAATATTTATCTCGGGCATTAAAATACCATAATTTGAGGAGGAAAGGAAAAAAATAGTTCTGAGGTGACTTCCTTTAGATGTTTTTTTTTACTCCAAAATTTAGAAACCTGTTAATAAACTTCCCTGAAGGCACAGGAGCTGTGGGGATGACACATCGCTGACCCAGGTCACTCKGTGGAATTAGAGGCAAAAATGAAAGAAGCCCTTGATACTCTTTGATATCCCCCCTTCCTGGAAGTGTTTGCAAACCCACTAGAAATAAGATCACTCTCCTGTAAAGGTGTTTTATTTACAGTGCTGGTCAAACCCACACCCTGACTCATTCCACAGAGGAAGTGGGAACACAGGATAGACCCAGGTGAGTTTCCCAAGGAACAGCATTTGCACTGTGTCTGTATTGCCAGAATTAAAAAGGGAACCCACAGGACTTCATTAATGAAAATYAAATATTTCTAAGGGTTTTGCCTCCCTCCCCTCACCCTTTCCATAAGCACTTACTCTCAATTTACTTACTTTCTTCAGAATATTTAAAACCTCAATATGAAAATCCACCTCCTACTTTTTTCCTCTCTCCCTTCATTCCTGGGCTGCAAAAACATCCAAATCTGAGAACTCACACAGATTCTGCCTCATGTATATGAGCATCTGYACTTCAAGAAAAATGTTCAAATTTCATTAGTCATTCTAAAATGATTACATCATCTAAAAAATTGCCTCTGAGCACACTATTTATATTCCTTCTCATTCTTAATATTGATTTGCAGTATACACCCAAAATAAATCCAAAATAGAAAGGGAACTGCTGCAGAGGGATTTCTCACAGTAGAACTCAATCAGATTTGCAAARCTCATTTTGAAAACCATTTCTCTTTGGCTTCAGATTAAATCAGTATTCATTTCAGAAGTGATTCTGTCTACRGTAAAAGTTCACAACTGAAAACATTTTGCTTTCTTTTACCTCATTATATAAAAGCTCTTGCACAGTAGAACTGTTTTAAGTTGCCCAGACCATCTAGGGAATATTTAACTACAGGACTTTCAACAAAAAGTATCATCTTACAAACCATCCCATAGCACTCGTCTCAGATTTCAGCTTCTCAAACCCRATACCACCTGCTGATGAAATGAACTCTGTCAATATAAAACAACTGCACATTTTTCTCTCTCTGCATCTATATTTTGCCAAGAAATATCCAAGACATAAAATGTGCTTCTTAAAAGATGTTTTTGGAAATAAAAAACAACCTGGTCAACTGGAAGGTGTCTTAGCCCATGGCAGGGGGTGGGACTGGGTCATTTCTAAATCCTTTCCAATCCAAATTGTTCTGTGATTTCTCCATCAGATTGAGGGGACCTAAATTCTTTACTGCACTACAAAGCAGGGCATTCTATACCTTCAACCATCCTGGTCAACCTGTTCTTTTCTCAGTTTTTCTATTTCTTCTCTGAAACAGGAGAAAGAGCCACAGGARGAAACCATTCAAACTGCATTGTCCACAGAACGTTAAGAGCCCAATGTATAATAAAGGTACAAATTAGATTAAAGATACAAATTAAAGATACAAAATATTAGATTAACATACAAAAAGATAAATATCTGACTAATCTATCAAATGGCTAGACTAAAAAGCAATACTGAAAATTAGCATGGCCAAGAAATTCCTGAGCATGTGGTTGCTTCTACCAAATCAACTCATTGCAACATTAATGTGACTCTTGTTTAATTTAAAAAATTAACAAGGTACATGTTTTAATTAAAAAAATGTAAAAGTGTTACATCACTAATGTTTGGGGCATTTTTCCTCCTATATAATCCAAAAGRGAGAACCTTCAAGGTGCTTTCCCTTATACAATTAGACATGCTGCATTTTAATTGGAAGCTTCTGGAAATAAATTTTATCGAGACTGCCAAGMCTAAATTAATACTTCACACCATGAAGGTTTTTGTTTTACAGTTTTCAAATTACAATGAGCCAGAACTTCTCTGAACTTTTGTTCCACAGGAARGGCAAAGGTTTTAATGAGACTTTAGTCTGGAGATTACTTTTTAAATATTTTGCAAAATCTGAGGGATTTGGTAAGTACTTGAGATGAAAAACACCAGCAGAGTTTGTTTTTGTAGTCTAAGTAAAACTAAAAATATAAAACTACCAAGAAAGACAATAGCCTCAAAAATGAAGGTCAAGCACCAGTAGCGCTGAAAAAACAAAACAGGAAGGTTAAACACACATTTAATTCTTTTGTCAGGTACAGTTTACATCTGTATTCTATTTTTTCACAATAAAGCCATTGATCTTTTATTAAAAGTGAATTAAGACAGCCTTCATCTCCAGYTCCAGCCAGCTGCTTAAAAAGAAGCAAAAACAAAGCAACCCCAAATTATCAACAGCGACCCATTGGGGCTGGGCAGCACTGCCTGTGCAAGAGCACAGCCAAACCATGGGGTTATGAAATTCAGCTTTTCCTCTGAAAGACAAGCCCCTGGCATCCCCAGCAGAGCACTGCTCCCTGATTTCATGACACCAACAGAAATGGAGTTTATGGATCCCCAGGAGAGCCCTTGGCCAGTAACTCGACCGGTTGTGTTTTCCCAGTCTGGACAAAGAGCTGCACATCCCAACCCCTCTGTGCCTCCAACCCCTCACGTGGCACCCAGCTGTGCACAGCCTAAAATATTGCAGAAAAACAACAAAAACCTTCCCCTGCCCCGAAACTACCTACACAAATTCACTCCCACCTCGCAGGCGCTGTTTTAAACATCTTTTTAAACAAACCAAAGCCCCGTGAGCAATAGCACAGAATGGAGCAGGCAGCTTT